TTTCTGCGTTTAGGGTTCGATTAGAAGTGATAGAGAAAGGAAAAAATTCAAGCTCTGTCAAATCAACAATGGAGTATGAGTTCAAACGAGGAGGCTGCGCCTGTTGCTTCTCTCATCAACTCACAAGTTTTGGCTGAGATTGCTCTTATTGCCAAAACTCATCTCAACAAAAACAAGCCTCCAGCAACCTAGCTACAAGCTTAGGCAAAGACAGTCTCATTAAATTTTAATAAAATTTTCCCTCCTTAAAATAATATAGGAAAAAAGACAATAAAATATCCTAAAAATTGGTGAATTTCAAAATTCTAAATAAAAAATCCCTTACACTATTTTAGAATTTTTAAATATTTCAAAATGGTACAAAATGCTCTTCACTATTTTCTCCCTTTTTTAAGATTGCGAGCTCAATACTCTTGGTCGGTTTTCTGCTGTCGGAGCTCTGGTGCTAGCCTCCAGTAGTGGCACTGGAGCTTTGGTAGCATGTCGCCAGAGTTCCGGTACCAACCTTTAGTGATTGGCCACTTGAAAAGTTAGAAAAGTCATGTGTTTTTTTCCTTCTTATTTATGACCTTCATTTGGTCTTCAAATGGAAATCTGTGCCATTTTACCCACATGGAAGGGCTACAAATAATCTACTCTTCAAGTCCTATTTATAAGGCACTTCCAGCATATTTATATGGATCAAGAAAAAACCTTAAAAATGCTTAACTCTCTATTAAAATATAACAACTTTCCAACTTTACCCTATTTAATATGTACATCTTTCAAAAAAATAATTATCTATACTATAATAAATGAAGGACAAAATAAAAACATTCATGCTAAAAATTTTAATGAAGTGACTTATAAATAGGACAAAAAAAATCTTCTTTCTTCTGTTCTATAAACAGGACCAGAGGAGCATATTCTTCACATTTACAAAAGTAAATGTGCGCGCGCGCACATCGCATTGAAATAGAGATTAAAACATCAAATAAATGACTGTAATGATGATATATTGTTTATTCAATAATCATGATTATTTTAACCTAAAATATAATGCCTCCACTTATTTATATAAAACCTAGTTAACTAATTGAGAAGATTAACAAAATTAAAAAAAAATTACTTAGTTATAGAAATATTTAAGTGTGTCATTAGATTATATATTATTTTGCTGGTCAAAAGAGATTATATATATTTTATAAGTCGGGGGCAAATTATTTGAAGAAAACAATAAATATAATACTTTAAAGTAATTTGTTTAGTTTTTCTTAATTTTTAAAAAATTAGTCAACTGCATCTTATATTAAGGACGGGATGTAGTACTCTTCCGATCCTAAATATAAGCCCCCTTTGTAATTAAATTACACTGTAAAGGGGTCTTATATTTAGGATCGGAGGAATATTATATATCTATTATATTTGTAATTGAGATATGTTAGTATTTTAAGTCTTTTTAAAAACTCTATTCATATCTAGCCTATCCATAGGGGTTTTTTGGTGTTAAATTTTGTGCGACATCTATTACTTTTCTTGATTACTTCTCTTTAATTTCCAAACTGTTTTATCCTTTTAATTTTTCTGAACTTTTCGTGCACTACCAACAAATAAGTGGAGGCCTCTTTTGCTCTTCCAGAGTAGCTTCAGAGTCTCATTTTTCGATTCTTATGCTTCTTTCATAGCCGCGTACCACATTTTATAAATAATGTGCTTGCCACTATTTAATTTAATATTTATTAAACTTCGTATAATATATTAAACAATATTAACATATGATAAAAATTTATTATAAACTATACTATTAGCATGTCTTTCAAACCGATATTAAAAATTAGGGTTAATTAATCCGCAAGTCTTTATAGTTTCAACGAATTTTGAATTAGGTCCCTAGAGTTTTTTTTTTCAGGTCCTTATACTTTTATCTTTTTTAATTAGGTCCTTGTATTTATTTTTCTTTTAATTAAGTCCTTATATTTCACTAAATTTTTAATCAGGTCCATGTAGTTTGGTTTTTTATTTATAATTAAAATAAGCTTAATTAAATAGATTATACTGAAATATAACATATTATAATTAAATTAAATTATAATTATGTAATAAAAAAGTAATAGAATTAATTAATTCAGGAATTTTTTAGCTTTTTAGAACAATTAATTTTTTTGCTGAAAAATTAAAATCATTAAATAATCAATATCTTAGAATATTATTGTTTATAACTAATATAATAATATATACTATTTTATGTTTATATAATAGTACTATTAGAATTTATAAAATAGAATAAAAATTCAGGGACTTAATTAAAAATAAGGTGAACTTATAAGGACTTGATAAAAAGAAAATAAATGCAAGGACCTAATTAAAAACAGGTGAAAGTTAAGGATGATAAAAGAAAAAAAAAACTATAGGACCTAATTCAAAATAGTTTGAAACTATAGGAGCTGTGGATTAATTATCCCTAAAAATTATATGTATGTCTATAATATATGTTAAGATCACTCAAATCTCTCTTTATTTTTAAAATATTGGTTAATGCCATTTTTATTCTCTAAAAATTTAACTTCATTTTAATTTTGATTTCTGAAATCTACATATTTTAGTTTCGGTCCTTATTTACAGGACCAAAAACACTGTTTTAAGGGGGGGAAATCTATAGAGGTGCGACTAAAATTAAATTAAATTTCAGGGATAAAAACCACTAGTTTCAAATTTTAAGGATTAAAACAAAAATGAGGTTAGACAGGAACTAAAAATTAAATTAATTCTCAAAATATATACAAACTGGCATTAAGATAGAAAAGAGATTTGTGTAATTATGCACCTAAGACGTCAACATAATTATTTTTATTTTCATTAAAAGCTTGACTAATTTCAAAAACATGGACCAAAGATTGGCACTGTGTGAACAAAATTTTTACAAGTCCGCGTAATTTGTCCTTCATAGAAGAAGTCCATAAATAATTTACGTATTTTACAAGAAATTCTGTACAAGTTTCGAAAGTGAAAATTCAGTTTTTTGCTGGTACCATGCTAGCTACAGGCGCACGCACCGATCGTCGGCAAATATTATTATTTTCTTGTTCTTTTGAATTATTATTCCCAGTTCACATACGTCGACGCACTACTTGACACAAATTATTTCTCCTTCAGTCCTAAACATAAGATCCATTTTGTAATGTAAATATACTACAAAATGAGTCTTATCTTTGGAACTGGAGGGAGTATTATAATATTTACTATCCTGTCTTATTTATAAGTCACTTCCAGTATATTTCACACAGATCAAGAAAAATTTTAAATTTTATTAACTCTCACTTAAAATTCAACACTTTTCAACTTTATCCCTATTTAATATTAGCTCCGGTTCTTAACATAGGAGCTGGTTGACTAATTTGAATAGAATAAAAAAAACTAGTTAAGTTAGTTATTTATATAGATAGATGTTGTTTTTCTTAAAATATCCTTGGTAAGTGATTGGTTAGAATTGGTTAGAATTAGTATTTAATATTAGCTCCGGTCCTTAACATTGGAATCTTATGTTTAGAATTAATAAAAATCAAATGAGCTATTATATTAAGCACCGGAGGTAGTATGCATTATATCTCATTTAAATAAAATCAACACAATAATAAATAAAGGTAAAATTGTACATCCATGCAAAAAAAATTTCTCAATGCCTCATCAATAGGACTAAAAAATATATTCTTTCTCTATCCTATAAATAGGACCAGAGGAGTATTATTGTTATTGTTGTTTTTGTTGTTATTACTGTTATTCCCATTTCATGTACGTCCACACACTACTTGACAACATAATTAGAAGGAAAAAAAGAAGAAGAAAGAAAACAAATAAAGATTGGTTTGTACAGCATATTCCGGGAATCTTAAGGGGGCATTGTGATTAGCAATTCCTAAGATTTGTCGCTATTTATCGTTCATTACGAGCATATAAATCACAAAAGACTCAGAATACGCACCCATTTTGGATTAGAAGAAGCTATTGAGTGCAGAAAATCAAAGGGAGAACATGTCTGGGAAACTTGAGCATGAGCTAGAGCTCGACGTGCCGGCAAGCACGGCGTGGGATCTCTTCGGCACGATCCGGATCGCAGAACTTGTTGAGAAAGAGATGCCAAGTTTGTTTCAGAAGGTGGAACTTGTTGAAGGTGATGGAGGAGTTGGAACCATCCTCAAATTGACGTTTGTACCTGGTAAGTATCTCACTCGATTTTATTCTACCGGAATTAAGTTTTGTTGTGAAATGACCTAATTGCGCTTTGTGAAATAATTAGTTGCCATTTAACAAGTTAAGGTTCTTGTTATACTTGTTAAACTATTCTTGCCGCCATTGATATTCAGCAAGAATTTTTTTCTTGAAATTATTTAGATTGTTGTTATCATTTGAATTTCAAATTAAAGTCATTTAGGTAATCTTACTACAAAATTTAAACTTAAAACTAGTTTTTAGAAACTTTACCGCGCTTAGACCAGTTCGAGTAGGAGGTCTTGAATTGGATATGCATATATACTACATCCGATCCTTAATATAAGAGCTAGTTGACTAATTTGAGTAAATTAAGAAAACTAATTAAGTTAGTTATTTATACTAAATATATATTGTCTTTTCAAAATATGCTTGCTAATCAAGTAAATTGACTAGAACTGTTATTATTATAGAAACTGCCTTAGAAATAAATAAATAAATATGAGAGACAAAGTGGATTGGGATCTTATATTTAGGATTAAAATAAAAGTCAAACAAATTATTATATTAAGGACTAGAGGTAGTATATTTGATGGATATTTTTGTGCCTTTTTCAAAGTTATCCTTATCCTAATATTAATTGCATTGAGTTATTTGGGTGACATGAGTTCGATTGATTAGGTACGCCAGGGCCATCATTTTACAAAGAGAAGTTCACAAAGATAAATAATGAGGATCGAATCAAAGAAACTGAGGTAGCAGAAGGAGGATACTTGGAATTAGGGTTTACTGTGTTTAGAATTCGTTTCCATGTGATAGAGAAAGGAGAAGAATCGAGCATCATCAAATCAACAGTTGAATATGAACTCAGGGAAGATGCTTTGGCCAATGCGCCTATTGCTTCTAACGCAATTCAATCCCTAGCAGGCATTACTCAAATGGCCAAAGCTTATCTCAACAAAAACAAGCTAGCCGATCAACCCAACTAATGATGAGATTAGTATTCCATGTTTAAATTGGTGGCCTTTTTTTTTTTTTTTTAATAGTTTAGAGTATTCTCAAGTTACTTTGAACTTAAGACTAATTTTTATCAAGAATATTATATAAATCTCTATATTTTTTCTTTTGCAAATAAATCAGGTTTCAATTGTATTAAATTACATATATATATATATATATATATATATATATTACGCTGCTCGTGGATATGAGTGTGCTGACCGTGAGTGATATGGACATGCTAGTTGTGGTTGATATGAGTATGTTTGATTGTGATAATAAATATACTAATCTAGATCTATTTATAAGTCACTTTCAACATATTTCATACAAATTAAGAAAAATCTTAAATTTCATTAACTCTCATTTAAAATTTAACAAGTTTTTAATTTTATCCTAATTAATATATATTATACCTCATGAAGACAAAGTCAATATAATAATAAGTTAAGAATAAAATTAAACATTTATATATACCCCTTTCATGGGCTTTCTATAGCTTATTTTAAATAATTTTACTATGTATGAGATAAATATATAAAAGTAATTTTATCCTGTAAACCGTACAAGTAATTTTTAAGTGTGAATCCAACCAAACCACCACATAATACATTTTATAAAGGAAAAGTGATAGAAAAGAAACCTGAAAATGACTAAATTTTAAATCAAGTTTGTTTCCTACATTTTAACAGGTTTTAAATATACTTGACTTGCAAATAACAATAAATTAACAATTTTTTGTAGGAATTTCTTATTTGAGATTATACAATTTTTAGGTTCTTTTTCTGTCATGCTCCCTTTTAGAATTGTAAATATTATTAATTAAAATAATATTATTTATTTATCTATTAAAGATTATGTTAATATAGTAGTATTTCAAAAAAATTAAAAAATATATAATTTTAATAAAATAAAAATTCTGACTTAATTTGATTTATTTTCCGCAAATAATATTCTTCCAATTCACTACATCCACATGGTGCGCACTTCACAAAAGGAAAGATAGAGGAAAGAAAAAATCAAATGAAGTTGAGTGCTGTGTAGACTTCTTACATCAAAGGGAGTCATTGTGACCACAAATTGTAAAGCCAGAGACATTTAATTTGTCCCCACATGAACCTCATTGTGATCATATAAACCACACAACTCAGAAGCAACTCAACAGAAACACAACATATACTTCATATTCTGCAGATCAAGCTACGCACTGTGTTTAGAAGTCTTGTTGGTCTGAGATGGCTGCTGGGCATCTTGAGCATGAGCTTGAGTTGGGCGTGCCGGCGAGCGAGGCGTGGGACCTTTTTGGCACGCTGCGACTCGGAGAATTTTTTGAGAAAGAGATGCCAAGTTTGTTTCAGAAGGTGGAGCTTGTTGAAGGAGATGGAGGAATTGGAACTGTCCTCAAATTGACATTCGTACCTGGTAATTTGAATAGGTTAAGAAAATTAGTTAAATTAGTTATTTCTTAAACTTATGTTGTGTTGGTTTTCCCAAACATACCCTGTCAAATCATTTAACATTGCTTGAAGCAAAACACATGCAACTAACAGAGACAATAGTAAATATGAAGGACACTGAAGATTAAAGTCTTATATGAATACTCGAATTCAACCTCCAATTAGTTATTATTTTAGGAACATGAGGTAGTATTAATCTTTGTAATATTTAATAGCAACATGCTCTCATTGTTGTTGTTTCAAAAGAAAATCTAATTACATTCATCAAGATTTTATAATTTATAGCTAGAAAAATATTATGCAGGGTACATTAGGGCCAACTTTTATCCAAAATGTTATCTCGCTGCCTTTAATCTTTAATATAAGATACAGTTATTTAATTTGAAAATATTAAAAAAGTTAAATAAATTACTTAATTATAACATATGTTACATGTCCAATTTAAAATATTTATGTGTCTTATTAGATTATTATATACTTTTTTAGTCTTTAATGTAAGACCTAATTAACTAATTTGAGTAGATTAAAAATAATAATTAAATTTATTAATATGATATATTTTTTCTAAAATACCCTAAATATCTTTCTTAAATCTTTCTCTCTCTCTTCTACTTGATTGTTGTTACGATAATATTAATAGGGTTAATTTTAAAAAAAATTGATAGACATATGAAATAAGTCTTACATATAGAACTAATATTAACTCTTTAATTAACTTCTACATTAAGGATAAGAGGAGTATTAATTTGTAAACCAAGCAAATTAGTTTGAAGAAAAACTATAAATAAAAATACATTAAAGTAATTTATTTAGCTTCTTTAATCTCCTCCCTAAATTAGTCAACAAGTCTTATATGAACCAATAATAGTTAAGTGAAATTGACTTGATTCCACCTTATTAATAAATAAATTTTTATTGATAAAATTAGATCACAATACTCAAATATAATGCAACAATCTTAGATATCATATAATTGTAAAGAAAATGTATAATTTTTTAAAACTGTTTACTAATAATTGCAATTCCTTTGACGGTGTGAGATTAAATAGGTACACTGGGGCCAACCTGTTACAAAGAGAAGTTCACAAAGGTTGACAATGAGAACCGAATAAAGGAAATTGAGGTAATTGAAGGAGGATATTTGGAATTAGGGTTTACTCTGTTTAGGGGTCGCTTCCACATAATGGAGAAAGGTAAAGATTCAAGCACTGTGAAATCAACAGTTGAGTATGAACTCAAGCAAGAGGCTTCTGAGAATGGCTCTATTGCTTCCAATGCCATTCAAGCTCTGGCCAACATTGCTCAAGTTGCCAAACAACATCTCAACAGAAACAAACTTGCAGATCCACCAAAATAAACTACATGTGTGTGTATTTAGGATAAAACTTCCTTTATCTTATGAGATTTGAATTCAATACATGTGTAGCTTTAATTAACTTTTTTTTACACATATTTATGGGTTAATATCATTTTAGTTTTTAAAATTTGATGTCATTTTGGTTTTAATCCAAAAATTTGACTTTATTTTGATCCTTCTAAAGATTTTTTTTATCCCTGAAATAGTATTTTTCTTTTGTCTCTAAAACTTTGATTCAAGGATCAAAATCACTGGTTTCAAATTTCAAAAAATCTAATTAAAATGAGATCAAATTTTGGGAACTAAAAATATTATTATCCTTATATCTATGGATGGATTCTATGTAGCAAAATAATCATAGTGTGTGCACTTGTTTTTTGTGTGTCGGCACGTAAAATTATCCGAAATTATTGTGTGTTTTTGTGATTTGACTTGAATTATTCGGCTTGCCATTTAATTAAAACATGTGATTTGATATTTTATGTGTGTTTTTGTGATACATTTCGACAAACTGGTGATGTGATATTTTATAAAAAATAATCCTATCAAGCAGTGAATGATTTTGCGTTATTAAAAAAAAAATCTGCTCTGGCTCATATTTTCAAAAATTTCATGATTGTGGGAGATTTTAATAATATTATTAGTTTAAAAGAGGGGAAATTGGGGAACACCCCATTAAAAATTTTATTGGTAAGAAGGTCAAGTACCAATAATCTGTGTATGTACCAATAATTTTATTGGTAAGAAGGTCAAGTACCAAAAATCGGTAGAGAACTAGTAGTTTTTGCATGTAAAAATTTATCAAATCCTCCTCATAAATACACTTTTTAATTAGAGAGCTTTTCCGAATTTTCTCAAGACCTAGAAATCAGTGCAATTTATTTTTGTTTTCATAAACAACTTGTGTACGGTTAGAAAATAAAATTTCCTACGCACATCCACACATATGCTTGAGAGTAACAAATAAACTGGGCTACAAATTTTGGGAGGGGAAAAATCTTAGCGAGGCATATTGTGACCACACAAATTAGAACTGTGCTAGGACCTTACAAGACTTATCCTCGCGTGATTTTTGTTGTTGTGAGCATATAAACCACACAACTTGGAAAACTCCCACTCATCGAAAACAACAGAAGCATTTATATTTGGTGGAAAAGAAGGTACTGATGTAACCCTGATTATTAGATCAGCTGGCTGGAACTGTTTTAGCTTAACCACGAGTTTTGAATTCGAGACCTAAAAATGTCCCATCTTAGAGGCCAGGGACGCCAACCTTAATGATTCCTGTTGTTATATCCCGAGAAATTTTACCTGACATAGAAAGTTAAAAATTGGAATAAGGGCCAATGTAGAAACTAGACTGGGAGACAAAATAACTTTTGAGATAAAACCCCGATAAGATCCGGGCTACCATTTTCGTAATTATTAGTTTATGAAGGACAAAATGGGAAGTTTGGAGAAGAATTCTAGAAAATTCTCAAAAAATGGTAAAAGTATAAGTTAGAGGTTTTAGAAATTTGGTTGATGCCTGAAAGGTGAAATTATGGTGAAAATAAATTATTATGGAATTTCCCGTGAACGGAGGTTTTCGGGAAAATATTAGAAAATCAGAAGAAAATAATTATTTTAATTAGTTAAAGGCCTCAATAATTTTGGAAAAAAATGGACAAATTATCTAAATATTTATTTGAATTTCTAAAATTGGTTTTAGGCCTTGAAAGTCCATGAATTAATTTTAGGGAATTTATTTTCCCGCAGTAACACCGATAGAGGCCTAATCGGGAAAAATTCAAAATAGATACCTAGAGGTGGCTAAAAATTCTGAAAATTTACAAATCATGTTCTCATATTAAAATTTGAATTATCATAGAGAGAAATGAATTTTTGGAGGTCTAGAAAAATTTTGGAATGTTGATAGTGAATAGTAACTGATAAAGTTTCAGAATGGTTTGGAATTTTGATTTCGATTGTGGGCCATATTTTTGGGCCATCCTAAACCATTTGTGGGGCCCAAATTAGGCCTAATTCAATCCCAATTTTGTGCAGCTTCTGGGCAGCTCTATTTTTAATTAAATAAAATGCAAAATTAGGAGATAATTGTTGAAATAATCTAGAGCTTGGATGCATGGATAGATCTGAAGCTATGAGGCATTTAATGGCTGCCAACTCACCTTATTTCAGCTAGATCTGAAGCTATGAGGCATTTAATGGCTGCCAACTCACCTTATTTCAGCCATTTTGGATGTCCAAAAATCAGAGGGGAAAGGCAGCTTGGTTTTTCTATAAATATCTCTTCCTAAAATATAAGAAAATGTTGGAAAAATTGGGAAAAAGAGGGGAGGTGCTACCATTTTCATTTTTGATCAAGGGAGACTGAATTTGTGGAGGTTTTGGATAAGGAATCATTCAACTTACATCAAGAAAATATCAAGGTATGCTTAAACCCTCTGATCCCTAAATTTCAAGCTAGTTTAGTTAGAGTTTTGGCTTGAAATTCTAAGGCTAGATGCTGCCCCATTTCGGTCTAATCATGAAAGGTTTAGGGAAGGATAGAAACCTTAAATATCAAGTGGAATAAGCTTGTTTAAGTGGTATATGGAATGGTTTTTGAAAGAAAATACACATTTCGGCCAAGGGGTGTTCTTGCTGGAAGAGTTTGTTTTGTATTGATTTGATGATTCCAATGGGTTTAAAATATGTTTTTGTGTAGGGATATACTAAAGAGAAGTGTGTAAAATCATTGGAATCAAAAATAGAAATTTTAGAAGCTTAAAACCCCCTATTCGGCCAAGAGGAATTCATGGGGAAGAAGTTTGATTTTCAAAAATCTGATTCCATATTTGAATTCCTCATGAAAAATTGTGTAAAAATGAGTCATGAAGTTATTGATTTTTAAGGAGGAATTATTTTGTTAAAAATCCAAGAAAAAAGGTGGAAATGTTAAGTTAAAGAAAAAGTATTATGTTTAAGTGGTTTGGCTATTAATGTGGCCTATGCTTATGCTTGATTTAATAGGCTTTGTGAGGGGGAATTAAGGAGGATCATTGTCCCTTGAGGAGATCAAATTAATCAAGTGATAAAAAGTAGCATTGAATTATAATTTGATTGTTTATCTTGTTTGTTTAATATGATTATGTTGATTGCTTGAATTGAAGAATTTATGTGGTGATAATGGTTGACTTTATGACATTTGTTTGTGCTTTGGCTAAATACATAAAAATATGTCAATATGAAATTGTTGATGTTCCTCTTTTGGTATGATGCGAAATATGATTTTATGTGACTTGAGGATGTTTGAAGTTTATAACGTGTCACATTATACTTGCTTGATTTACATGACGATTGTAATTCATTGCTACTGAGATTTCAATGAAATCTCACTCCCCTCAATATATAAACAGTCATAGGAATCCCAGGTGGTGTCACTAAGAGCAAGGAGAAAGAAAAGGGATTCACTTGGAAGAGGAGGAAGTTTATTATTATTGAAATAATACTACGTAATTATATACATTATTATGTGTATGTATGAAATTATATCGAATTGTTGTATCAGTGATAAGGGTGCCTTACATGTGAGTAATTGGTTAAGGAATCATGATTAAGTATGTGTCATATGATTAGGAAAGCTAGATGAAAGGAAAAGGAAAAGAAAAAGTAAGAATGGTATGAAAAAAAGATAAAGGTTGACTTTTTGAGAGTAAAGTTTGACCAATGTGATTTTGAGCAATAAGATGAATCTGGATTTGAAACTTGGCATGCTTATAGATATCATTTTTAGCTTTAAAAAAAGTGATAAACCATTAAATTTAGAGTTTTGTGCTAAGAGTTATGCCCTTTCAAAGTGGAGCTAAAATACTAGAAATTTAAAAATTTATCATATGAACAGTGCACATTGTCAAATTCTCTGGTGCTGTTTCCGATGGAATTAAGGCCAATGAGTATTTTTCCCTTGAAGAACTCTTAGCAAGCTTCACGTGAAAATTGGAATCACCTCATTTTAATTTTTCTAGAATTAGTTATGAATTTTCAAAGTTGATCTAAAATCAAGTGAATAGTGTACGAACAAACCGAATTGGAAGAAATTTAAACTTTGAAATTTCTCATTCTTAAGCTATGGGAAATGGATTATAATAGTTCCAATTAATGGATAATATGGTAATAAAAGAGGTGTCACACATGTCATCCCTCGATCCGGATAATGGTTCCAAATGCTCTAGCTCATATTTTCAACAATTTCATGATTGTTGGAGATTTTAATAATATTATTAGTTTAAAAGAGGGGAAATTGGGGAACACCCCATTAAAAATTTTATTGGTAAGAAGGTCAAGTACCAATAATCTGTGTATATAAAATCGGTAGAGAACTAGTAGTTTTTGCATGTAAAAATTTATCAAATCCTCCTCATAAATAAACTTTTTAATTAGAGAGCTTTTCCTAATTTTCTCAAGACCTAGAAATCAGTGCAATTTATTTTTGTTTTTATAAACAACTTGTGTACGGTTAGAAAATAAAATTTCCTACGCACATCCACACATGCTTGAGAGTAACAAATAAGCTGGACTACAAATTTTGGGGGGGAAAAATCTTAGCGAGGCATATTGTGACCACACAAATTATAATTGTGCTAGGTACCTTGCAAGACTTATCCTCGCGTGATTCTTTTTGTTGTGAGCATATAAACCACACAACTTGGAAAAATGCCACTCATCGAAAACAACAGAAGCATTTATATTTGGTGGAGAAGAAGGTACTGATGTAACCCCGACGATTAGATCAACTAGATGGGACTGTTCTAGCTTAACCACGAGTCTTGGGTTCGAGACCTAAAAATGCCCCATCTCAGGAGTTAGAGATGCCAACCTTAATGGTTCTTGTCATTCCTCGATCCGGATTAGTCTGAACCTGTTATTGCGCATAAAAGATGGCCTGACTCAGGATACAAGATGCCAACGGAAAAAAAAAAAAGTACTAATGGCTGGTAGTGTTGAGCACGAGCTCGACCTTGGCCTACCGGCAAGTGAGGCATGGTATCTCTTCCGCATGGCATGTCGGCTGGCGAGTGAGGCATGGTTTCTCTTTGGCACCTTGTGATTTCGAGAATTTGTCGAGTAAGAAATGCCGGATTCTTCTTCTTTCTTTCTTTTTTTTTTTTTTGGCTAGAATGCCGGATGTGTTTCTGAAGGTGGAGCTTGTTGAAGGTGATGGAGGAACTGGAAGTGTTGTTAAAATAACTTTTGGTGAATATATTTCATTTTGTGTTTTATCATCACCATCAAATATAAGTTCTCTTGCCATAAACTAAGAGAAATAGACAGAGAGAATGAGAACTGTTTTGGGGCAAGAAGACACAGGGAACTGATAATGAAGTATAAAAGCATTTTATTAGATTCACTTTATATATTTTTTTCTCTCCCTAACAAATTGTCTGAAAGTATTCGTTGACGTTTAAAGTATTTACCTGTATCATTATTCTATATCAGCGTATTTAATGTTACCAAACCCCGAAGCTTTTGGTTCATAAGAAACCATATTTACATGCATACCTTAGGTCACTTGCTATTGCCAAAAACATGTTAGGGGCAGCGTCAATACTATCGATGTAATAAACTGAGGATTTCACCCCCAAAATATATGACATCATCAAATGCATGGCATATCTTGGCGTGCACGTTTGAGATTAACAAATATTATTATTTATGTTTTAATTTGGTGGAAATTATCAAAAATTTATTGTACTTCATGCTAGTTTGTGCTTGAGATTATGAAATTTTTTTGTCTATCTTCAATTAGTTAACTCGAAACATGTTTTTGGGTGTTTGAAACATCCCAAAAATGCTTTTTAAAAATATTTTTTCATAAATTGAAATAAACTTCTTTATTTAGTTACTTCATATACCATGAAATCATTTATAAAACTATGATTTGGTTTCTACCCAAACACTTTTTTTATCTCTTGATAATTTGAAATAAGTCCACAATAGCTACTCCATATAGTGTCGTAGTTCAAATTGTCCCATCCCAATAGGTCCTAATGATTCTAGGACGGGATGAGACAAGACAAAAATTTTCGGGACGGGATGAGACACAAGACAAGGTTGTCCCGTCCCGCGGTATATAATTTTTTTAAAAAAAATTTGCAAATATTTTGATAATTTGACGAAGACCACTCCCTTGCCCTAATTTCTAATACCATTCAGAGCTCTTGAGTGATGGCTTCTACTCCTACAGATCTCCCTCTCATCTTGGCATCTCGTGCCATGCGACTCCAACTACTCTCGTCATTGTCTATCACCAGCTCGTGCTCACTCTCCCGACGAGATCACCGATTAATTTTCTTGGGCCAGCGCCTCATTGTCACGTTCCGGTCTCCCTCCCACCCTCTTCCTTCTTCTTCGAGTCTACTTAGCCTTCAACTCTTGATCCCTACCTTTTCAATCACCGAGGTAAGAAGGGTGCTCTCCTTATGCAATCTCCCAATCTGTCAAAATTATAAGACTCCCATGCTCCTGCAACTAATTTTCTTGTATTTGAGAGACCTGATAGCATACGAGGGATCCTCGAGCTGACTTATTAATTCTCACTGTGTCTCTCCCCACGCCAACTCTACTTCACGCAGGGACATGCAGGAGATGCTTACAGTCTAATTAATTTTTATTTTCGAAGCAATAATATGTGACCTAGAGGCCTTTTTGTCACATTTAAAAGTCAATATGTCATTCAAAGGCCCAAATTAAATTATGATCTAGACTTTCAAGGCCCAAAAAAAATCAAAGAAACAAAGTCACAAGCCCAATAAAAAAATTGAATAAGGTCCAAAACCGAAGGGGGGAAAAAAAAAGAGGGACGGGACGGGACGGGACGGAGTCCGGTCCTGTCCCTGTTCACCACCCATCCCGATGTCGTCCTGTCCTGTAAACACCCCTATAGTATCGTATGTTTAGCTAATTATAGCCTCCTAATATGACGTGATACTTTTGTCCTATTTTCATGAAAATAAGAGTATATATGAAAAGGAGAAATAATTATTGGAAAATAAATGTTCTGCCAATATATTTTTAAAAAACAAAGTAACTTTTCAAACATTATTGCTGAGATTATTATACTAGAATTTTGAAAAATATTTCAGCAAAAAATCAAAAATTATCAGACGTTAGTATTTGCTACCACTGAGATGATTGAATATTCGCCTTAGAACATTTTTGATGTATTCACTATTAAGAGTGATCGGTTTTAGTGACAAACAATCGAAAAATAATTTGATTATTCATTGTCGTGCCTCTTGGTACTGAGAAAACTATTTGAAAGGTAAAATTACACTAAACATTACATTAAGATACTAAATACTATCGAAAAAATATTTTAAAGTACTAAATTGTATTAAAAATTAGTTTAAGATAATGGATGTTATTGGAAAAATACCTCAAAATAATGGATGTATCTTAATCCTATGAATTTTATAAATTAAAGGAGTTTATAATTATATTGAATGGAAGGGAGTCGAAGTGATAGTTAAAATTTTGATAAATTGAAAAAAGAAATCATGTTAAGAATTATGTTCATGTGTATATATATGAGTGCCAGATTAAATACATAATAATAGAAGAAAAATTACTATTTAATTTTTGAATGTAGGGGGCTGCTATAGATAATTTATGAGCGATCAACAACTTTCCTTATATAAAATGACAACTACCATCTCAAAATTCAGAGTATAATAAAGTGTTGGTAAATCAATGACACTAAATCACTAAGAAATGACTTTAATCATATGAAATAATCATAACTACTTCACATTAACAAATAACAACTTTAGTTATACAAAATGAGGTCACTTCATTGGTAACAATTCTAAAAGCCAAAGATAATACTCCTTCAGTCCTTAATATAATACTCATTTAACTAATTTGATTAGATTAAGAAAGTTAAATAAGTTAGTTAATTATAAGAAATGTGACACGTTTTTCCTAAAATACCATAATCATCTTTCTTAATACCCCATATTCCTCTTCTACTTGATTATGTTTGAGGAAGTATCCACAGGGGTAATTTAGAGAAAATTAATAAATATGAGAAATGGGTCCTATATTTAGGACTAAAATTAACTCAACAATTGGGTCTTATATTAAGGACAGGAGGAATAGTTGTCATTGATTAATGTGGTGTTGTGATTTCACACACACACACACACTTACGTTGTTAATCCTTAGAGCGAAGTAGTAATTCCATCTACGTTGAAAAACTTGGTTGGCTTTAGGGGGTGTTTGGAACACTCCATAATCACTTTTCAGAAGTACTTTTCTGTAAATCGAGACAAACTCCTCTACATATTTACTTCGTATACCGTAAAAGTACTTCTGAAATCATAGTTTTGTTCTTACTCAAACACCTTTTTAGTGGCCTAATAATAACATAACTTAAACATTTAGAAACCAAAAGTTGGGGAATCATATCCCACCTTTGACTATCCCAACCCCAAAAATTATCCAGTCATTGGTCAGTAGGGATTGGCAGCGGGTGGTAGAAGGATTTTTTAACATGAGGGCACTTAGGTCATTTCACAAAAATTTGTTTCCTATAGATCTCATTGGAATTATGTATGTAATTAATTTCACACTATCATTTTAAGATTTTACATATTTTGGTGGCAATGATATTTCATGCTCTCTACAAATTAAGTGAACATTCATGTATTATAATTGATCTCCGTTTCTTTTTTGAGTTGGATATCAGGTTTTGAAGGACCGGCAGGCTACAAAGAGAAATTCACAAAGATAGACAACGACAGACGGATCAAAGAAGTAGAGATAGTGGAAGGAGGATACTTGGAGTTAGGGTTTTCTGCGTTTAGGGTTCGATTAGAAGTGATAGAGAAAGGAAAAAATTCAAGCTCTGTCAAATCAACAATGGAGTATGAGTTCAACGAGGAGGATGCGCCTGTTGCTTCTCTCATCAACTCACAAGTTTTGGCTGAGATTGCTCTTATTGCCAAAACTCATCTCAACAAAAACAAGCCTCCAGCAACCTAGCTACAAGCTTAGGCAAAGACAGTCTCAGTAAATTTTTAATAAAATTTTCCCTCCATGAAATAATATAGGAAAAAAGACTATAAAATATCCTAAAAATTAGTGAATTTCAAAATTCTAAATAAAATCCCTTGCACTATTTTAGAATTTTTAAATCTTTCAAAATGGTACAAATGCTCTTCACTATTTTCTCCCTTTTTAAAGATTGCCAGCTCAATACTCTTGGTTGGTTTTCTGCTGTCGGAGCTTTGGTGCCAGCCTCCAGTAGTTGGCCACTGGAGCTTTGGTAGCATGTTGCCGAAGTACCAGTACCAACCTTTAATGATTGGCCACCTGAAAAGTTAGAAAAGTCATGTTTTTTTCCCTACTTATTTATGACCCTCATTTGGTCTTCAAACGGAAATCTGTGCCATTTTACCCACTTGGAAGGGCTACAAAATAATCTACTCTTCAAGTTTTATTTATAAGGCACTTCCAGCATATTTTATACGGATCAAGAAAAACCTTAAAATATATTAACTTTTTATTAAAACATAACAACTTTTCAGCTTTACCCCTATTTAATATGTACATCTTTCAAAAAAAAATTATCTACACTATAATAAATGAAGGATAAAATAGCACATTCATGCTAAAAATTTAATGAAGTGACTTATAAATATGACAATAAAAACTTCTTTCTCTGCTCTATAAACAGGACCAAAGGAGTATATTCTTTACATTCACAAAAGTAAATGCGCGCGTGCACACACATCGCATTGAAATAGAGATTAAAACATCAAATAAATGACTGTAATGATGATATATTGTTTATTTCAATAATTCATGATTATTTTAACTTAAAATATAATGCCTCTATTTATTTATATAAGACCTAGTTAACTAATTTGAGAAGATTAACAAAATTAAAAAAAATTACTTAGTTATAGAAATATTTAGGTGCGTCGTTAGATTATATATTATTTTTGCTGGCCAAAAGAGATTATATATTATTTTATACGTTAGGAAAATTATTTTGAAAAAAACAATAAATATAATACTTTAAAGTAATTTGTTTAGTTTTTCTTAATTTTTAAAAAATTAGTCGACTGCAAAAGAGGCCTTATATTTAGGATCGGAAGCATATTATATATCTATTATATTTGTAATTGAGATATGTTAGTATTTTAAGTCTTTTAAAAACTCTATTCATATCTAGCCTATCCACAGGGGTTTTTTCAGGTTAAATTTTGTGCGACATCTATTACTTTTCTTTTATTACTTCTCTTTAATTTCCAACTGTTTTATCCTTTTTAATTCTTCTGAACTTTTCGTGCACTACCAACAAAATAAGTGAGGCTCTTTTGCTCTTCCAGAGTAGCTTCAGACTCTCATTTGTTCGATTCTTATGCCTCTTTCATAGCCGGCGTACAACATTTTATAAATAATGGTGCTTGCCACTATTTAATTTAATATTTATTAAACTTCGTATAATATATTAAACAATTATTAACATATGATAAAATTTATTATAAACTATACTATTAGCATAGTCTTTCCAAAACGATATTAAAAATTATATGTATGTCTATTAATATATGTTAAGATCACTCAACTATCTCTTTTATTTTTAAAATATTGGTTAATGCCATTTTTATTCTCTAAAAATTTAACTTCATTTCAATTTTGATTTCTGAAATCTCACATCATTTTAGTTTCGGTCCTTATTTACAGGGATAAAAAACACTGTTTTAAGGGCGGGGAATCTATAGAGCTGCGACTAAGATGAAATTAAATTTCAGGGATAAAAACCACTAGTTTCAAATTTTAAGGATTAAAACAAAAATGAGGTTAGACAGGAACTAAAAATTAAATTAATTCTCAAAATACATACAAACTGGCATTAAGATAGAAAAGAGATTTGTGTATACGTATAGACCTAAGACATCAACATAATTATTTTCATTTTCATTAAAAGCTTGTACTAATTTCAAAAACATGGACCGAAAAGATTGGCACTGTGTGAACAAAATTTTTACAAGTCCGCGTAATTTGTCCTTTATAGAAGAAGTCCATAAATAATTTACGTTTTTTACAAGGAATTCTGTACAAGTTTCGAAAGTGAAAAATTCAGTTTTTGGCTGGTACCATGCTAGCTACAGGCGCACGCGCAGATCGTCGGCAAAGATTATTATTTACTTGTTCTTTTGAATTATTATTCCCAGTTCACATACGTCCACGCACTACTTGACAAAAATTATTTCTCCTCCAATCCTAAACATAAGGCTTATTTTGTAATGTAAATTAAATATACTACAAAATGGATTTTATCTTTGGAACCGGAGGGAGTCTTATAATATCTACTCTTCCGGTCCTATTTATAAGCCACTTCCAGCATATTTTATATAGATCAAGAAAAATTTTAAATTTTATTAACTCGCATTTAAAATTCAACAACTTTTCAACTTTATCCCTATTTAATATTAGCTCCGGTCCTTAACATAGGAGCAAGTTGACTAATTTGAATAGATTAAAAAAACTAGTTAAGATAGTTATTTATAATAGATAGATATTATTTTTCCTAAAATATCCTTGCTAAGTGTATTGGTTAGAATTACTATTATTACAAGAACTGTTTTGAGAAAAAATGAATAAATATGAGAGACAAAGTGGATTGGAGTCTTATGTTTGAACTAAAATAAAAATCAAACGAGTTATTATATTAAGCACCGGAGGTAGTATGCATTATATCTCATTTTAATAAAATCAACACAATAATAAATAAAAGGTAAAATTGTACATCCATACAAAAAAAATTTCTCAATGCCTCATTAATAGGACTAAAAAATATATTCTTTCTCTATCCTATTTCAGAGAAGTATTATTGTTATTGTTGTTTTCGTTGTTATTACCGTTATTCCCATTTCATATACGTCCACACACTACTTGACAACATAATTAGAAGGAAAAAAAAGAAGAAGAAAGAAAACACAAATAAAGATTGGTTTGTACAGCATATTCCGGGAATCTTAAGGGGGCATTGTGATTAGCAATTCCTAAGATTTGTCGCTATTTATCGTTCATTGCGAGCATATAAATCACAAAAGACTCAGAATACGCACCCTATTTTGGATTAGAAGAAGCTAGTGAGTGCAGAAAATCAAAGGGAGAACATGTCTGGGAAACTTGAGCATGAGCTAGAGCTCGACGTGCCGGCAAGCACGGCGTGGGATCTCTTCGGCACGATCCGGATCGCAGAACTTGTTGAGAAAGAGATGCCAAGTTTGTTTCAGAAGGTGGAACTTGTTGAAGGTGATGGAGGAGTTGGAACCATCCTCAAATTGACGTTTGTACCTGGTAAGTATCTCGCTCGATTTTATTCTACTGGAATTAAGTTTTGTTGTGAAATGACCTAATTACGCTTTGTGACATAATTAGTTGCCATTTAACAAGTTAAGGTTCTTGTTATACTTGTTAAACTATTCTTGCCGCCATTGATATTCAGCAAGAATTTTTTTCTTGAAATTATTTAGATTGTTGTTATCATTTGAATTTCAAATTAAAGTCATTTAGGTAATTTTACTACAAAATTAAAACTTAAAACTAGTTTTTAGAAACTTTACCGCGCTTAGACGAGGTCGAGTAGGAGGTCTTGAATTGGGATATGCATATATACTACTTTTGATCCTTAATATAAGAGCTAGTTGACTAATTTGAGTAAATTAAGAAAACTAATTAAGTTAGTTACTTATACTAAATATGTATTGTCTTTTCAAAAATATGCTTGCTAATTAAGTGAATTGATTAAAACTGTTATTATTAAAGGGACTGCCTTAGAAAAAAATAAATAAATATGAGAGACAAAGTAGATTGGGGTCTTATATTTATGATCAAAATAAAAGTCAAACAAATTATTATATTAAGGACTAGAGGTAGTATATTTGATGGATATTTTTGTGCCTTTTTCAAAGTTATCCTTATCCTAATATTAATTGCATTGAGTAATTTGGGTGATATGAGTTCGATTGATTAGGTACGCCAGGGCCATCATTTTACAAAGAGAAGTTCACAAAGGTAAACAATGAGGATCGAATCAAAGAAACTGAGGTAGTAGAAGGAGGATACTTAGAATTAGGGTTTACTGTGTTTAGAATTCGTTTTCATGTGATAGAGAAAGGAGAAGAATCGAGCATCATCAAATCAACAGTTGAATATGAACTCAGGGAAGATGCTTTGGCCAATGCGCCTATTGCTTCTAACGCAATTCAATCCCTAGCAGGCATTACTCAAATGGCCAAAGCTTATCTCAACAAAAACAAGCTAGCCGATCAACCCAACTGATGATTAGTATTCCATGTTTAAATTGGTGGCTTTTTTTTTTTTTCTAGTTTAGAGTATCCTCAAGTTACTTTGAACTTGAAACTAATTTTTATCGAGAACGTTATATAAATCTCTATTTTTCTTTTGCAAATAAATCTGGTTTCAATTGTATTAAAATTACATAGATATATACTTACACGGCTCGTAGATACAAGTGTGCTGACCGTCAGTGATATGGATATGCTAGTTGTGATTGATATGAGCATGTTTGATTGTGATGATAAATATACTAATCATAAGCAATATATTCCTCTAGTTTTATTTATACGTTACTTCTAACATATTTTATACAGGCCAATAAAAATTTTAAACTTTATTAACTCCCATTTAAAATTTAACAAATTTTTAAATTTATTCCTAATTAATATATATTATACTCCATGGGAATAAAGTCAATATAACAATAAATTAAGGATAGAATTATACATTTATACATTCCTTTTCATGGGCTTTGTATATGACCGGCTTCATGGGCTTTGTATATGGACTCATCTGATGGGCATTACAAGAGTATTAGTTAGGCTTGTATCAGTATTAATTATTTTAAATAATTTTACTATGTATGAGATAAATATATGAAAGTAATTCATAATTTTATCAATATTTGACGGTTATAAACCATCAACTATACTAGCGTCATTTATGGTCACAAAAAATATTTGAAATTACTTGACGGTTCTAACTCCAAAACCATCAAGTATTGTGATATATACTTGATGGTTTTTGAGAAAGAACTGTCAAGTAATTCCCACAATACTTGACAGTTACTATGAATGACCGTTTAAGTATTGTGACTTTCCTTTTTAAAATACAATGGCTGCTTTTTTAGCATCCCCTCTTCATTATGAAAGATAGCCAGCAATATAACATACAAAATATAGAACCAAGCCAGCCATAATACAGAATCAATCCAATTATAAACCAAATACAAAATTACATTATATTTTAAAAAACTAAATGTCAGACAATGTCTAAATTAAGGCAATAAAAATTATAATATTGGACAAGCTAGTATGCATGAAAGGCAAAAGCAAAACCAAAGTGGGTAAGTCCTAAGCCAAGATCAAAATTGGCCAATTACCAAAAATTGTCCAAAATGGGCAAGTCCTAAACTAAAATTATAATTTTTATCTTGCAAACCGTAAAAGTAATATTTTTTTAGTGTGAATCCAGCCAAACCACCCCATAATACATTTTATAAAGAGAAAATGATCGAAAAGAAACCTGAAAATGACAAAATTTTAAATGAGGTTTGTTTAATTCTCTACATTTTAGCAGGTTTTAAAAACACTTAACTTGCAAATAACAATAAATTAATAATTTTTTGTAGGAATTTCTGATTTGGGATTATACAATTTTTATGTTCTTTTTCTGTCTGCTCCCTTTTATAATTGTAAATATTATTAATTAAAAAATAACATAATTTATTTAATAAAGATTATGTTAATATAGTAGTATTTCAAAAAAATTTAAAAAATATATAATTTTAATAAAATAAAAATAATGACTTGATTTGATTTATTTTCCGCAATAATATTCTTCCAATTCACTACATCCACACGCTACGCACTTCACAAAACGAAAGATAGTGGAAAGAAAAAATCAAATGAAGTTGAGGGCTGCGTAGATTTCTTACATCAAAGGGAGTCATTGTGATCACAGATTGTAAAGCCAGAAACATTTAATTTGTCCCCACATGACCCTCATTGTGATCATATAAACCACACAACTCAGAAGCAACTCAACAGAAACACAATACTTCATATTCTGCAGATCAAGCCGCGTATACTGTGTTTAGAAATCTTGCAGATCTGAGATGGCTGCTGGGCATCTTGAGCATGAGCTAGAGTTGGGAGTCCCGGCGAGCGAGGCGTGGGACCTTTTCGGCACGATTCGATTTGGAGAACTTGTTGAGAAAGAGATGCCAAGTTTGTTTCAGAAGGTGGAGCTTGTTGAAGGAGATGGAGGAGTTGGAACTGTCATCAAATTAACATTCGTACCTGGTAAATATATACTATCTAACTAACTAATTTAAGTAAGTTAAGAAAATTAATTAAATTGGTTATTTGTTAAACTTATGTTGTGTTGGTTTTCCCAAACTTATCCTGTTAAATCATTTAACATTGCTTGAAGCAAAACATATGCAGCTAATGGAGATAATAATTTAGAAAAAAATAGTAAATATAAGAGACAAAGTAAATTAAAGTCTTGTATGAATGCTCGAATTCAACCCCAATTAATTATTATTTTAGGAACATGAGGTAGTATTACTCTATAATATTTAATAACAACATGCTCTCGTTGTTGTTTCAATAGCCAATCTAATTAAATTCATCGAGATTTTATAATTTATAGCTAGAAAAATATTATGTAGGGTACATTAGGGCCAACTTTTATCCAGAATGTTATGCTAGCTATATTCAATCATTAATATAAGATCCAATTGTTTAATTTGAGAATTAAAGCAGTTAAATAAATTACTTAATTATGTCAAATGTTACATGATCTATCTGAAATACTTATGTGTATCACTAAATTATTATATATTCTTCCAGTTCTTAATATAAGATCTAATTAACTAATTTAAATAGATTGAGGATATTAATTGAATTAGTTAATATGATATATTTTTTTTCTAAAACATCCTAAGTATCTTCCTTAATTCCCTCTCTCTCTCTCCCCTACTTGAGTAATGTTGGAGTAACATCAATAGGATTAATTTGGAAAAGAATTAATAAATATATAAAATAGGTCTTACCTAGTATACCAACATCAACTTCCTAATTAGTTCCTACATTAAGGATCAAAGGAGTATCACTTTATAAGTCAAGTAAATTATTTTGAAAAAAAAAAGATAAATATAAGTACGTTAAAATAACTTATTTAGCTTCTTTGATCTCCACAAATTAATCAGTTCAGTCTTATATAGACTAATAATAGTTAATTAATCGGAATTGACTTGATTAATTCCATCTTATAAATAAATAAATTTTTGCTGATAAAATTAGATCGCAACGATACTCAAATATGATACAACAATCTTAGATATCATATAATTGTACACAAAAAAAAAAATTGCGTATGATATATACTTTTTTATACTCCTTGCTAATAATTGCAATTTCTTTGATCGTGTGAGATTAAATAGGTACACTGGGGCCAACTTTTTACAAAGAGAAGTTCACAAAGGTTGACAATGAGAACCGAATAAAGGAAACTGAGGTAATTGAAGGAGGATATTTGGAATTAGGGTTTACTCTGTTTAGGGTTCGCTTCCACATAATAGAGAAAGGTGAAGATTCAAGCATTGTGAAATCAACAGTTGAGTATGAACTCGAGCAAGAGGCTTCTGAGAATGGCTCTATTGTTTCCAATGCCATTCAAGCTCTGGCCAACATTGCTCAAGTTGCCAAACAACATCTCAACAAAAACAAACTTGCAGATACACCAAAATAAACCACATTTATGTGTATTTAATTAGGATAAAACTTCCTTTATCTTATGAGGTTTGAATCCAATATATGTGTAGCTTTAATTAGCTTTTTTTATACATATTCATGAGTTAATATCATTTTTAGTTCCTGAAATTTGATGTCATTTTGGTTTTGATCCAGAAATTTGCCTTTATTTTGATCCACCTAAAGATTTTTTATCCCTGAAATAGTATTTTTCTTTTGTCTCTAAAACTTTGATTCAAGGCTCAAAATACTGGTTTCAAATTTGAAAAAATCAAATTAAAATGAGATCCAATTTTGGGAACTAAAAAAATTATTATCCTTATATCTATGGATGGATTCTATGTAGCAAAATAATCATATGAAATTTATGTGTGCACTTGTTTTTAGTGTGTCGGCACGTAAAATTATCCAAAATTATTGTGTTTTTGTGATTTGACTGGAATTATTCAGCTTGCCATTTAATTAAAACAGATGATGTGATATTTTATGTATATTTTTGTGACATATTTCGACAAAATGGTGATGTGATATTTTATCAAAAATAATCCTATCAAGCAGTGAATGATTTTTCGTTATTAAAAAAGTCTGCTCTGGCTCATATTTTCAACAATTTCATAATTGTTGGAGATTTTAATAATATTATTAGTTTAAAAGAGGGGAAATTGGAGAAAACCCCATTAAAAATTTCATTGGTAAGAAGGTCAGGTAACAATAATCTGTCGAGAAATTCTTGCACGCTCTTGGAATGCCAGCTCAAATAAACTCTGACCAATCAAAAAATAACACCTCATTCAATTTTAATCCTGGCTAGCTCTTCTCATCAACGGATGATTGACGGCGCTACAGGAACGTGATCTTCATCTATTCACTTGGCTTCTCTAGTCACCATCGTTCTTTCGCGTTCCCTACCCCTACCTTTTTGTCCTCCTCCTTCCAGGCAACCCCATTCCTCTCTCTCTCTCTCTCTCAGAGTCAATCACCCTCCCACACCACCTCCTCCTTCTTCTTATGCGACACCGACCACGAATTGGTTTTTCCTAAGGTCACCCCTTCACCACCAATAAACAATCAATTGGTTTCTCGCACTGATCGCGAATTGCAGTGTTATCGGAAAGGTCGTCACCAAGTCATTGGATTCGTCTCTTTTTCCCTTCCTTCCCTTTCATTTTCTTCTCAAGGCTTTTCCCAGATTCTGAACTTTATAAATTTTAGACATTGTTTAATTGATTCCTTCATGGCCTTGGCTTTTTGGGTTTTGTGGGTAACTGCTTGGAGGGCCAAAGGTTTCTCGTTCTCATTATTCTCTTCATAGGAATGGGGGCAGAAGGCATGCGTGTGTGTGGATTTGCTTTTGTGGTGAAGGTGCTTTTGTGTTAAAAGGAATTTCTAAGGTTGAAATCATGTGCAAGTCTGTACGATGCAAATGCAAATGGAGGAGCAAGGTTTCATGGGTGACAGAAGAGGAATAATGCAGCAAAGAAGAGTAAATAATGGCGGTGACGGGAGAAGTCAAGGGCAAGTATAGGAATTGCGTTTCCTGTGGCGCCGTTTATGTGGACGGCCAAGTAGGATTAAAACTGAATGAGTTGTTATTTTGTAATTGGTCAGAGTTGATGTGAGCTAGTACTTCCGGAGCATACAAGAATTTCTCTAATCTGTGCATATAAAATCTGTAGAGAACTAGTAGT